TACCTGTACTCTTGACTTCATCTTGTAATTTCTTAATCAGAATTTTTCCATCAAGATTTCCATTTCTGTACAATTTTCTAGATAAGAGATCATTCTGGGTTCTTAGATTGATAATTTCAAGTATACTGGATGAATATGGATGCAATACATTTCCTTGAAAAGAGTGGCAACCATTGTTCTAATTTAATAGAGTGATTCTGAAAAAATTGCAAATTCAGAGCTTATTTTTTAAAAAGAAATTATTTCCTTTCAGTAAACATATTATTTGTAACATGGAAAACTACAGTATGTAAGCCAGTTCCTAGCTGTGTTGGTTCCCACCAAAGCAACTCTAGCAGTCATTGTTCTATATTTCTTTGGTCAATAACAGAATTAGGTTGCATTTGGTAAATAGAAAGATATGTGATAGTGAAAGTTTTCCAACATCTTTACTTTGAGCATAATAAACAGTGTTGCTTGCTAGCTTTGTGGCTTCTCAAAGTTTCTGATTGTTTGCTATAAGAAAAATCAATATCTTATTTCTCACATCAGCCAGATAGATAGACCAGTTGAAGGCTTCAGCCACAGCTTTGTGCCACTCTGACAGGGAAAAAACATGTTTTCCCTACTTCAAGTTCTACTGTTTACAAGCAGCTATTGACAGCTTTGCAGTACTTTCTGTGGGTAAGATCTATCACAGTAAAGCTTTAAACTCATGCTGGCTCTGCTGCATTTCTTACAGTCCTCCTTCTCCAAACCTGCCAAGTAGAGTTATAAATTCTTAAAGTGGTTCTTACTTTTGATTGTGCTCACTAAATGTGGAGAATAGCCAGGGAATAAAGGAGGAGTTCTAAATTTACAGTCTGACTTATGCTGTTCCTCACAAAAAAAGGTGTTTGGCTTACAAAAACCTGGCAACTACACTTTCATACTCTTTGAAGAAATTAGTTTTCCTGTATGGCTGTATGGCACAGCTCTTTATATTTGTCGCAGAACAAGATGGTTGAAAATCAACTGACAGTAGAAATGGCATTTTTTTTCAGCTCTGTGAATACCCTGGAAGATGTTAAAAAACAGATATTTTTAATACCAATATTGGTATAAATAAAATAACTTCAAAGTTACAAGAGAGATGAAAAAAGTTACTTTTTGCAATTCACTCACTAATAAAATTAAAAACATTAGTGAAAGCATTGATTGACTATTTATATGCACAATATATCACAATCACATCCAGAAAAAAAGATTATTAAAACATAATTAAAACTTGTGATTGCCAAGTGAATCATTCATTACACGGGAATGCCAAATAAGAATTATCCATTTAGCTCTGGTTGGCCATCCCACTTACAGTGTTTATTGCACATTATTTTTTTCCCAGAGAGGGACACCTCTTGGCAAAAAGATGCTGAATTAATTTGCCTGATTCATGCTTTCTAGTAAAACCTCTGTATTAAAAGGGCTGAGTTTATGAGGAGTCATTTTCATAGCTATATCACTGCCTATAACGTGGTGGTGAAGTTGGCTTCAAGAAAGCTAGCAATAGCATTTAGTGCATCCAAAGTACTTGGCTTTCAGTAGGGCCTATTTCCTCACTAATACAAGAAATTTAAAATTAAAATGCAGGTACTCCATTTTCCACATGTCACCATGAGGAGAGCTAGAGGCAGCTCAACTCACAAAGGGAATTTTTGTGCAAATGCAGGCCCTTCATATGCAGGTAGAGAGCAGTGGAATACTAACAAGATACGTGCTATGCTTTCGTATTTAATTCTTTTAAAGTTCAAGCCAGTCCTAGTTCAATGATGAACCCTAAAGCTTAACCTTGGTCTCCTTTTTGCTTTGTCACATCAAATTCCTTCAGGCCTCAGGGTCTCTGGAGAACCAGAATGACAGTGGGCCAGGAATGTCCCTTCAGAGATGGGACATCCATGTGTTTGTGCCAGTGCCTCATCACTCTGAATAAAATACTTCCTCCTAACGTATAATCAAAATCTCCCCCTTTTTATGTATGTCATTCCGAAAGTAATGCCTTCTATTCATTCCCATGGAAACTAAAACAGATACAATAACACTGTTTGATAGAGAAAATTCTCAGCTACAAAACTTTATTTTTCAGTCTCGACCATTAGCTGTGCATTTTGGCCAGCGATGAATGTCTTGTATTTCACATTGCTGTCTCCACTGCAGGAACACACCACCCACTCTCTCACTGTGCTCACATCCACAAGTAGGTCTCTGTAAACATTCAGGAAGTGTTGATGAATGTCAGTGAGTACCATTTTTTTTTCACATGGAGGTATTCACTGACACACCTTTGCTTCATTCTTACTTCCATGTCAGACTCCATTCTGTCAGACTACCCCTCTGCTGCCATCTGTCATAAGGCAACAACATGGAATATTGGTGGGAAGGTTCAACCTCTACATCTATACCACCAGCATCTGCTTCTGGTGGTGTTCAATGATATAATAAAATAGGAGGCATTATTTTCAGAGCAGCCCTCATAGTTTAAAACCATTTCCTGTTGTCCTATCACTATAGACTGTGCAAAAAATAGGTCTCCCTCGTTTTTATAAGCTCTCTTTAAATACTGGAAGGCTGCAATGAGGTCTCCCTGGAGCCTTCTCTTCTCCTGGCTGAACAAGTCCAGTGTCCTCAACTATCCTTTATATGAGAAATGCAAGTCCTTTTCAGTAATTTCTCCCAGCCCATACACATATCTAGGATTGCCCTGATGCAAGCGCAACCTCATTAGGTTCACAAATACAACACTAAAAGCTCAAGGACTTGATCCTCCATAAAACCAGCAGGTAGCTGAAACTTATGGCTACATCCACGTGAGTCTCAGAGAAACAAAACCAGGAGGAAATAATGACACAGTTCTCTCTGAAGTCTGTATAAACATATGAAGGATAATGGGTCTGCAGAAAGTTTGTTAAATGAATGAAAATTTTCAGTTTGAAAAATTAAATGTATTGAGGCATTGATATATTTTTCCTTTCCATTTGCGATTTCTGAAGTGCAGCAGATTCAGACAAAAGGTTCTATTTTGGCTGATACCAGTTGAAAGCTCAAAATCAATGACACCACACATCAACATAAGCTGAGAGAATATAATGTTCTCTATTGTACCTGTTGAAGTTTGCATTTGTTAAGGGTGCTTTTGTTAAAAGAGCTATGCTGTTCTTCTGAAAAGGGAATTTAAAGATCATTTTGTCAGAGAGGTCACTCGATGTGAAGAAACAACATTTACACAACTTTTAGCTGGTCTTACTTCAAGACAGAAAATAGAGTTAAAAAAGGAGAACGAACTATGACTTAAAAGCAGTTCTTCCTCCTTTACTGACTGATAGCAGGCTCAGATTGTATTTAAAATTCTCAGGGGATATACAGATTGAGAAGAAATATTGGTTTGGTATAATGGTAGTATGGAGATCATAGCTATAAGCTATTTTTGTAATGCATAAATCAGTGCCTGAGCACCAAACCATGGAAGTTTAGCATTTGATTCATAAATTATCATGGATAATAATTTTTTACTTGATGATATATCTTGACTAATGCAAGTAGCTGTAAGTTATTTTTTCCACCTATAACCATGCAGGTTGGCCGTGATGCGTGACTGCTGAGAATTACCAAGTGTTAACAAGAAAAAAGGATATTTATGCTATTGGTTATTCTGTAACCCATTGAAAAACTGTTCCTTCTCACTACAACCCAGGATACTAAATTCCTCTCCCAAAGAGTTTATTTTTTAACAGAGCAACACAAGGAGAAACACACAGAACAAGATGCAGCAGCCAAGAACTGAGAACAACAGTCTGCAGTCAGCATGTAAATTCAAAACTTTTTCCTTCAAAAACAAAAACAAAAACAAAACAGGAAAGCAACAACAACGACAAAAATGAAAACACTGCAAGAAAGAGTGAGGTACAGGGGCTACGAAGGAGAATCCTGACTGCACTGGAGCAAGCGAGTAGTTGGCATGTAGGAGGAAAGGATTAAAGTTCAAAGTTCTGCTGTGGCATGTTTCCTAAACTGTTTGCTGTCTTGATCAGCTAATACTCAGTATTTCTCACTGTGTGCCCAGATCCTCAGCTTGCAGCTGAGAACACTGCCCCTGGAATCAGGTTCTGTGGAGCAGGTGCCAATGCTTTCTCTTGGCTCACAGCTTGTTGGCGGCTCAGACATCTGTCTGCTGGCATCAGCAGTGGAAGTGATCCCCACTGCAGCCCTTGCTCTGGTTGTGTTCATCCCTGCTCCCCTGGCTGAAGAACCCTCCATTCTCCCATACTGCATTCTTTTTTCTCCTTTCCCAAATCAATGCAGACCAGAGTATTCTGCACTCATTTGTTCCAAGTGTCCAACAGAACCTGAGGACTACACTAGTCAGCCAGACAGTGTTTTATGTTGTTGTTATTGTTGTTATTTTTTGTTGATGATGTTTTTGCAGGGAATGTGTTGGCAGCAGCTCCAGTTGCCTGGAATTACTCTTGTGTGACAAAGAGATTTTCAGGATCGAGGGATCGAGCTTCACCTCAATTCCTTGCCTTTAGCTATACTCACCAAGGGCTCCTACACTACAATAAGAACTTGCCAAGCATCCTGTTCTGGTGAACGAGAGTTCTTTGCTCCAGCCAAACTGCTCAGAAGGATGGTGTAGTGGCTGCTCATCTGTTCTACTGTCTTCAGATCTCACTGGTAATTGCTGTAGTCCTCTGGCCACCACTTACGTTTGCAATATCAATCTTGAATTACAGTTTATCTACTGTATCACCAATACTGATCCTAAATGTGTAATTGGCTGCTTTCCAGTTAGGGTGATACTGCTAATAAATGGATGTCAGTCAAATTCCCTTTAGTTTGGTGTAGCCTGGGCAGCCAAGCTCTCTGCTGCTAGGATGCCAGCATCCATTCCTTTTGCTAAGACCTCACAAACCCCAGCACTGCAGGGAATGTTCGGTGAGATGATCTCCCAAACTTATGGTCCCAACAGCACTGATTCCCACTTCTCTCATATGACAGCAGTAAAAGCAATTAACCTTGTGCTGCCTGAGATCAAGGCACATTCAGTTGGCTCCAACATATGTGGCCAACTGGTTCTGAATCTCAGCAGTCCCTTGTGGACCCTGTTGTGAAAATGGAGCTCGTGGGAAGAGGCTACCTGAGCTGGCATCAGAAGGGTAATCCAGAACTGGACTATGAAGAGACCATAGTTTGCACCAACAAAGCTGTCTACATCTCCAAAGCAAAGAAGTTCCACGGAGCAGGTAAGATGCTGGAATGAGGTGCCACTGCAACAGCAACCTAGTGCTGGGCAAGAGCACTTCCTCTGCCTGTGGAAGGAATTTTGCCAATAGTTCTGCCAAGTGTTTTGTTTCTATCCCGTGGCATTCTCCTTTTCACTATGTCATATGGCAACTGGTACTGAGAAATGAACAGAAATATTCTAGTAGGGAAAGTAGCATCTGAGAGTGTCAGAAGTGCCCTCAGCACACTTCTGGTAGCTGTATTTGTGAACATCTGTTGCACAGACAGCCACTGCACACTGTCTAGCTGCAGGTATGAAATCTTTAATCACAAGTACATCACTGAAGCACTCTTTGCTCATCTGAAATGCTTACTTTTCATGTGCCAGAACGTATAAATTGAGTATAAAAGTGTTATATTTGCAACTGTAGGGAAGGCATGTTTAGTGTTACTGCTGTATCTTTACTGAGAAGCAAGAATCAAACAAAGAGACATACGCTGAAAACACTGCACAAGTGTGAATCACAGAATGGCTTAGGTTGGAAGGGACCTCTGGAGGTATTGTCCAGCTCTCCTGCTCCAAGAGGCATGCCCAGAGCAGGGCACCCCTTAGGTATCGTACACTCTAACATGCACACGTGTAAATGCAGAGCTAATGATTAAACACTGCATGTTTCTTAAATAGAGTTAAGTCAGTGGGCTGTAATGACCACCAAAGACAATCTTCTTTGCAGACAAGTGTGTTATTTCAGGAGACATCTACAGTAAAGGGAAGCTTCCTATGAGGAGCGTTTCCTCTTCTCAGCCTCTCTTTCTTCAGGTCTATTGGGAGTCCTGAGGATTTAGTCAATACATAATTGGCTAAAGTTCATTGCACTGGAATAGTTTAGAAATGAAGTTGGACTGCTCTGAGGCTGTTTATCTGAGCTATGACCTGCAGTGATTGGACTTCATTTCCTTTCAGACCTGAAGGCTCTACTTCATACTAAAGATCATTTTCCCCTTACACATGCCTTTGACTCTTAGCCTTGACCTTCTGCAGCATGCTGGCTCTTCCTATGGGCTACCAGATTTTACAGCCCTGGCAGGAAAGACAGAAAGTGACTAAAAGTGTAGGAAAAATCATTTTTGCTATTAGGAGAACAAGTACCTGTAATGCGTCTCAGTTCTGTATCTCCTCAGCTGAAGTTGAAATAAGGATTGTTTAAATGTACTCTTAAATCCACACTTTGTCACCTCTATGTGTGTTCCTTTTATCAGAAGAGCTGAGCTCTCACATCCACCATAACTTGCCAAAGCAGTACAGTTTAATAACAGGTTATTCCTACTGTAGCTGAGTCTTTCTGCTCCTTTTCCCAGCACTGATTGCATCTCTACAGAAGTGCTCTAACAAGTCCAAGAAAGCCATTTGAAAACATGAAAGAAGATACAGACTTGACCCTTCTTACCCTGAATATTCTGTGCTCCCCACTGATGTTGGCATAGGAGGAATGTATGTTTGAACAGATCGCTGCCTGTGTCAGCTTTTGACACTCAGCTGCTAATATGGTCTTCATAGCATGTTACTGTCTGTTATTTGATCTTGCCACATATCCAACTTGGGTCACAGCTGATGTCTGTGTAAGAATTGCATGTGCATGGCTTCTGGTGCTTACTGACATATTTCCTTTTAACCTTGGTAAATTTCATCACCATTTCATGGAACTCGGTATAGTCTCGTTGTGAGATAATGACTGCTTAAGAACTGACTACTGGTGATTGTCAAAGCTGACTGGTAACAGTGCTAGGATAATTAAATCCAGAAAACAAAAAAGACGTTTTGGTGCTACCAAGGCTCAGCACTGACAGAATCTCAGAGTCAGAGCAAACAGGAGCCAGGAGCTCAGCAAAAACCTTAAAGCTCTTTAAGCAATGCTGCACATGGTCTCACCTCAGGAAATCTCTTCTGCCCTTCATGGGAAAGTCATCCCTCTGGTCATTCCTACCAGTAGCACACTCACACTTACCCCACAGCCACAACCATTGTCTTCTTGCCAGTAAACACAGTCACAGTGTGACTGAAGTTTCCAGGTTTTGCTGAAGACCAAGATGCATAATGTCTCTGGGTGCCTCCAGGAGTTGGCTTTTGGGAGTCCTTCCCATCTCTACAGCTGTCAGGAAAGTTGTAACACTCATGTGGTATCAGGGGAATAAGTTTTGGAGCCCACATAGATGGCAGTTTCTCCTATGCAATGGGGTTCATGCCTACCAGACATGGATAGCTTGGGGAAGGGGAGCATACTTTTACTTCCCAGGGGAATTTAGAGACATTGGAATATCAGGTTCCTACAAACTATCAGGAATTTCTTATATTGCATCTATCTAATGAATTTCAGTTGATGAATTTCAGTTTCCTCCATTTCAGATTGTTTTTTAGGCATTTTTTTTTTCCTTTTGAGTTACAGCACTAATCGATTGAAAGAGCTGTTATGCCATGTGGCAAAAAAAAGCCTGCTGTGAGGAAGCAATACCCAGACTCTTCTGCCAGCAAGAATATCCAGTTGAGATTATTAAAACATAAGGCATTGCTGAATTCATTGCAAAAAGATGCAGAAACAGGACAAAACTGTAGCAGTCTTTCATTCCCTACTACTATTGTTCAAAGTGAAGTTTTGGCACAAGCTGTTAGGAAGAACAAAAGTGTTCATCTGGACAGTAAAACTGACAGCACCTACGCATGTTGAAGTGAAGTTTTGGATGAATCAAAGAGTCAAGAGCTGCTCTTATCAGGTCAAAAGAGGCTAAACATATGCTTACATAGATGGGACAGTCTTGTCTTAAAATCAGCAGGACTCCACCTATACAAAGCTGACTTTCATTAAGATGGAGTGGCACAGATGCAAAGACTTTAGAAGAAATGCATTGTAATATTACTGTCTCACAGTTGGGCAAGGAAGGTGTCCAATATTATTTTTATTGTGAGTGAGTCTTTCACAAAGGTGAAACACAAGGTTTGGATCACATTCCCGTGTGCTGCAGACAAAAATAAAAGAAAAATGGGAGTTAAGACATTATTTCACTCTCTAGAAGACCATTACTGCTTTTTGCAGTTAAAAGTTCACATCAGTCTATTTTGATTCTAAACAATTAGCTAGAAGTTGCAGGTTCATGACTGTGAGTCAGGATGGGGCAGATGAGCAGTTCTCAAGTCTGCTTTGCCCATACATCCAGCAGCTGACCTGCAGAGGCAGCACATAGTTCACTCACAAAATTTTGTGTGAAATACCAGCTGGTAAGGTAAGGCAAGGTAACATCACCTTGATTTCTGGAAGAAATGTCAAGATTTCTGGAAGAAATGTCAAGGTTTCTGAAAGGTACAAACATCCTAAATGTTTAAGAGGTTTCTGACAAGAGCATATTGCTTGGCTTTCAGGTAGCTGCCTGGAATCTGGGATCCACACCTTTGATTTCCACTTCAGCTTTCCTCCAGAGGTTCCCTCCACATTCACCAGCAAAGTTGGCTGCATCTCATTTTTCATGCAAGGGATTTGCTGCAGCCACAGTACTGTCTTAGCTAAAGAATGGAGATACTTACTGTTGCAAGGAATCAGTGGTGAGCACATGGGATGTTCAAAAGACAAGATAAGGGGAACCAACTATCTGAGATGGGAACTGTTCTGATCCTGTGCTTTACATGCCCACTACTGAGTGTTCACTAACTTTCAGCACTCAGTTTTTCTTCTTTTAACAATAAAACCATTTAATATGTTTTGCCATTGTTGTCCTGGGGCTTTGGCCCATATACAAAGATGTTTTTTACATGGTGTACAAAGAGCATGTACACTTGAGTAAGAACTCAAGAATGATATGCAAGGAGCACTTTGAGATCCAGAATGGGAATTGAGGGAGTTTATTTTCTTGCTTTAAAGTCTAAGTTTTGGGCAATCTTCATGAAATAGGAGGTCCTATTTATTTTTTATTTATTTATTTATTTATTTAAACCAAAGTCTACCTACATAGGGATGATCAGTCAAAGACCATCAGGACAAGTAGAACAAGTAATACACGGTTATTCCAAATATATATTTTTTGCTTTTCTCTAAATTTGGGTGATAAATATCAGTGAAAATGTGTACATGTGCATGGGTGCACTCTTTCAACAGATGCTCAAGAACACTGTGATAATTCAGCCATGCCACTTGTGGCGTAGTGAGGAAGACTGTCCTCTGGGTTAAAGGCAGGGCCTGGTGGAGGTATGATCAGCTTCAGATGTTCCTTCACAAGTTTGGACATGCGGTTTTTTGGTGAAAACCCTGTGTCCAGCAGCAATAGCTCACTGTGTTTTGCCTTTCCACTGATTCTCCCCATGCAGGCTCTCTTGGTGGTAGAAGCTAGGATTGATGTTGTTTACCTCTGTTGCTTCATCCAAGGCTCTGTGATCCTTTGCATCGCTCTGAAGAAAAAGACATATTTCCCTGGTGAAACTACTGTCTTCAAAACAGATATTGCCAACAGGACATGTAATTACATTAGAAAGGTAGTTTTGCTGTACGCTGCATTGTACAGGGGCTTCAGCAACAGTGCAGATCAGTATTCCTTGGAAAATCAAAATGAAGTGACAAGGCTGGAGTGCCAGCCGAGCACAACCCCCTTTGAAACCATGAGAGTCACCAGTGCACTGGTTCTGCCTAAACCACTGCCTGTCACCAATGCCCTGAGAGGAAATAACATCATGGCATTCAAGTATGAGCTGGTAGGAACTTCTAACCTATCCTGTGCCACGTCCACCATCTTGTCAAGGTGCCTATTATCATAGCAGCCGTACCAGAGCATTTGTGGAGCAGAGCATCATGATTCTGAATGAAAATCAAGATTAGCCTTCACAGAGACATTTACACGAATGATCTAGGAGCAATTGGATGCAAGGAATAAAGGATATTTTTTTGTACTTCAAGATCTGTACATATTATCTCTCGCTTTCACAAGAGGAGACTGTGGTTGTAGAGGTTGTAGAGCTCTGGTGATTTCCAAAACAAGAGGGTAAAACTAGCCAAAACCCAAGATCAGGAAGGCACATGAAGGGAGCCTGTGGTGCTGCTGAAGTCAGATCTGATGGCTAAAGAAGAGCAGGAGACTCAACAGTGCCCTAGATACTTTGCAGGCTCAGAAGGTGGCCATGCTCCAGTCCATGAGATAAAAGCCCACCCTAGTCTTAACTAGAGGTATATTAAGAGTGGAGAATAAGCTGTTCAAAAATCAGCTTTGAGATAAGCCAGATGCTGGGCAGAGCCAAGGAGCAGGCAGACTGCTTGTCACAGAGGCACCTATGGGAGATACCTTCAGCTGCCAGCATGGCTGAGTGGGCAGCTGGGTGATCCCTGGGGACAAAGGAGTAGCTGGGCAGCAAGGAGCATATGAGACATAGGGCAGCTGAAGGCAGGGCAAGGGCGGTACCCGTTCAGCTAGGAAAGCCTCTTCCAAGATTTCAACAAAGCTGGTCAGGAGAGAAGGACTAAAGCTCAGTATGTGACTGGATAATCATTATAGGAAGACCTAAGTCCTTCAAAGACTGTTGCCTTAGGGCTTTCTCCACACACTGAATAGTGAAGGAAGATTACGGCTACATACAACAGGATAGAACCTGGCAAGTATGAGTGTGTCATGCTTCCTACTGCCCCTTTTGCCTTAGTCTGCGCTGGGACCCATCACCTACCACAGCAGGATCAGCACAAACCCAGCTCCACATCCACTCAGTGTGTGACCCTGGGCATGGATGCTGCTGGAAGGATGTTCCTCCATCAGCTTCAGGTGACACCATGGACCAATGGTCATGCTGCCACATGACCTGCTGCAGAAACAGACATTCCCAGGGACATGGCGTGTGTAGTCCATGCTAAAATTGTGTATGTATGTGTCTGTGTGGGTGAAAGGGTTTGGGGATTAGAAGGTTGCTTAGGCATTTATTGGTGTTTGTTGGCATTTGTGTCTAGTGCCTAGTATTGTGGTTTATCTGCCGTATTGCTGATATTGAGCCTGAATGTATACTTCACTGATTGCTGGTTAATTAGGTGTTGCTAATTGAATAAATCACCCTGATTCTGCTGTGACTTACACAATATGAACTGAGAGCTGCTTCTTCAGAGCACGCTGGTGCCATATCATGCCCCAGCAGGTGCCCTGCAGGCTCCCAGCATGTCCCCAGGCTCTCAAGAAGGCGGGCTCGGGACTCCAGTGTCCTCTGGCAAAACCTCAGTCCCACAGCAGGCCTCTTGAGGCAGCCTCCTGCCAGGATTCACCATCTTTAGCCAGAGCCCAGAACCTTCCCTGGTCTCCAAACCAAACCTGCATTTCACACTCCACCTGCCTTCTGTCATTCCCTTTGTGCTCTTAGATCAACTTTGGACGACAAAACTTCCCAGCCTGGGTGTGAGACATTGCATGGCATTGTTACGTTCTGCTGCTCACACAGGGCTAACATTTCTCCTCATCTTGTCCCTAAAAATGGTATTTATCATTCTGGCACTGGAAGGCCCCTTCCACATCTCAGTCGAGACCATATATCAGGATGCTATGTGAAGAATCCCATTACAAATAGATTGTTGTTTTACAGGTCTCCCTGTTTTCATCATTCAAGCAAAAATTAAGGTGCCCACAATGTACATGGCAGAGATATGTTAAAAGAGTATCTTTCACTGCTTGTCTTTTGAACTTCCAGCTTTGTTTCTTAGTGACACATGACACAGCTGAAGGAAAACCACCAGCAGGTATCAATTCTGAAATTGCCATCACATAAGCAGTGGCCGTCCTTGCAAATAACATGGAAAAGAATTTAACAACTTCCTTTTTACAAAATATAGTTTGCAAAGAAACAATAGGATATCAGAACTTGCAGAAATAAAAGGCAGCTTTGTAATTTCTTTGCATGCTACTAGCTGTGATTTGAAGCACCATGGAAGTCTATTTTGGCTCAGATGTCTGAAGCCAGACTGAGATCAGCAGACTCAGGAAGGCAGTTGAGGAAGAAACGAGGTATTCCCACACCTCACTATGGTCACCTACTGGCATCCTGATGGCAGAAGGCAACCGGTATCTGATGCTAGCAAAACTGCCTTCTGGTTTCAAAAACTGCATTTCACAAGATGGAATATATACCAGGGTAAAATATGCATAACCCTGTTCCTGGGATACTTCATGCAGTGTCTGTGTGAACAAGAAGCAAAATAAAATGGTTGACATCAACAAGCCAGAAAGGCCAAGGTCTTCACAAAGCAGGTATAACATAACAGACATACATGCCAGGGATACCTGACTTCTGGGAACGTAGGCAAGTGATTTCACAACTCTTCGTTTTAATTTTCTTTTCTGCCTTTTGCATGTTGTCTGTATTGCAAATTCTTCAAGCATTTCCTTTCCTGTCTTTATAGTTTCATTTCTCTAAGGCACTTTCATGCTACTCTGGTATAAATAGTAACAAGAACAATATCACATCTGGGTAGTTTCAGTCAAGTACTTTTTTCCAGCACACTGCAGAAAACAGTGTAAAGAGATCTGTAGGAAAGGTCTCGACAAATATTTGGTTCACTTTTACAAAGAGGTGGTGAAGATTTCTGTATAGCAACATTGGAGCCATAAAAACACCAGGAGTCGCATTTGGGCTACCTGTGTTTATTCCTTTGTACACCTTTTGCAAAGCACTGAGACACACCCAGATGGACCTCATGCCTTTACAGTTCAATTAGACCAATATTATACTGTGTCTTTCCTAAGACTCTTCAGAGCAGGAGCAGTAACCATTCAGGTGCAGTGACCAAAAATAGCCATTTGGTAATGGAGACACTGTACCATAAAACAATCTTCCATGAATTTCAAGAACCACTAACAAAGGAGCCACCACCACCCTTTCTTTTTTGACATAGGTACCAATCATCTGGGCTTGAAAACTTAGAAACCAAAACACTTAGGTGTAACACCACACATTTCAGTGGAGGTTTCATTAAATACTGCACACTAAGCCTACTTGTAGTTGACAGGTTCAACAAATATTGGTCCTTGTAGGGTAACTTATTGTGAAAATGGAGCAGGAGGTTACTGCTGACTTCTGCCTCACATGCTTTAGCTGTAGTTATATAAATGCTGAGCTCTTTAGTCCATGGAATCAATATTTTTTTATTTCTTTTTGAATGAGCCATGCCTGCAGTCTCTCCAGAACCCACACAGAGGAGTCTGATCTCTGCATCCTTTGGGATTATTTCTGAGAAGTAGCTTTATTGTGAAACTGGTGGGATTTGTGCAGGTCAGAGGGGATGGGAAAGCGTATAAAAAGATGAGACACATGGATAGTTACTTTGTCTATTTATTTTTTAATGTTAACCTTGCACAGATTCTGGAGAATGCTTTTTTTTTTTTTTTTGTAATAATTTTATGAAGCAAAACCAGAGATTTTTCTCTTTCCCGTAACCATAGAAACATAGAAACAATGATTACTGGAAATAGTTACACTTCATCTGTACTTGTGGGAGCAGGTTTGTGTTACTGCTGGAGGATGCAGAAGTTAAGCCACATCTGCATCCTCCAGCAGTAACACAAACCTGCTCCCACAAGAAGTTAAGCCACATCTGCATCCTTGGCAATGTTACCTGGCAAGGCTGCCATAGTCAGCAGGGAATGAATGAATCTTACAAAGGTCTTCAAACATCTGGAATAGCTGGAACACTTGCAAGTCTGGAACATTTTTACTCTAGCTGCTTTTACCTGTTCTCAGTAAATGATTTTGTGATTGATTCAATAGCAAAACTGTGTCCATGTTTGAATATGTATTTCATTATCCAAACGACACAGTAGCCACCAGAGCATTGGCTCTTTTCATATACCATTAGACCTCTCAAAGAAGGGCCAATGAGACATGCAGTTTCTCAAGAGCAGTCACCAGCAACATCTATCTCTATTTAAAGGGGAGGAGAGCACACCAATGCTTTTTAAAAAGCTTTTTGAATAAGATAGTCTCCTATTACCCAGCTCCTTTCCCTTTGTCTCTTTATCCTTTAAAATTACACAGGCTTTTCAGATAAGCTACACAAATGTGGATTAAATCATATTGATTTGTTTGATCCTGATCTACCTCCACCTTTTCCTTTCCTGATTAAAACTTCCGCTTTTCCAGAAAGTTCTCTGAGTCCCTTTCACATTCTTGTAAGCAGTCTGCCACCTTCCCCAACAAAAGCCTGAATGGGGCCAACTTTCTTCTGACTGCCTCTGTTAGACTTCTGGAGAAGGTAGGGCTCCTTTGTCACACTAGACAGACCTTAATTATAACCACACCCAACCTGACTAGGCTTCATCCACATAACTTGTAAGTATCGGTTTCTAATCTGTTTTTCCTTCTAAAGACCAATTCTAACGCTCTTGTATGTTCAGACATACACACAAGGTCAGTAATGGAAAGTCAATATAAATGGAGATCTGAAAAGAAAGAAATCTTTTTTTTCTCTTTCCAGTTAATCTAAATGATTCTGGAGCTAATACTGATTACAGTCTGTATAGACACATGACTTAGGCAATGCCTAAGCACAGCTATCCAGTGTTTCCTACTGACCACTCCAAATAAGTTTTCCAAAAATGTAACAGCTCATTCTATTAGAGGGAGCTATTGGTTCTTCTAGAAAAAAATAGAACAAAGTATGACTTTTTCATCAGCAATTTTAAACATTCAAACAGGTTAATTGATTACATGAGCCAAGGGTTGCAAACTGAAGAGGAAATTGACTTCTTCAATATGCAAATAAATTACCAGGCAATAAACTGATACCAGCTATATCAGTATGAAATATAATTACAATTAACTTCAGCATCACAAAGAAACTCGCTTAATTTTTTCCATGCTTGCATTCAATTTTCTGCTTTCAGTAATGCCTGTGCAGTTCCTAGTGAGGGACAGATATAGATTAATTCCCACAGAGCAAAGGATACTTGAACACAGCCATGCTCACTTCTTAACAGTTTTGGCTTTGCACCATGTCACTTGTCATGTTTTATACATACTTTGTTCATCCACACTTACTGTTACTGTGGATCTCTTCTTTTCACCAGTGGCAACATACATATGGTAATACTGAAAGGGGTTTGAAATGATCTGTAGAGGGAGGTTTTGCTGCATTCTTGGATTTTTTCAAGACTTGCAAAGATAAAGCCCTGAGCAATCTGGTTTGAGCTCTGAGCTGACCCTGTTTTGTGCAAGAGCTTGCCTAGAGTCACCTTCCAACCTGACTCATCTCATGAACCTCTTGTGAAGAGGAGGTAAGTAGAGAGGAAAGGAAGACTCAATGTAAACTACAGATCATTTTGAGGATACTGACAATTAAAGAGATTTCCTATAGGGAAGAATAGAAAAATGACAGCTGAGGAAATAAGAATGTATAGATTCTTTTCAAACTGCCTATGTGAAAGGTAGCAAAAAGAAAGGAGCAAAGAAGCAGTCAATACTGACATTTTAAAAACAAATAATGCATTTCAATTTTGACTATTATGAGTCCTTTTGGTTTGTATTTCTCATTTCCCTGACGATAGGTTGGAGTTCCACCACAGGCATCTGCAGCAACAGTACTTGTCTGTTTGAAAAGAAAGGAGCCTACTCTTTCTTCAAATCCCCATCCTTGAAGCCTGACACGCTGGGGCTTTGTGCACAAGCAGGCTGAAAGCTGCCGGGAACTGAAGGAATGAGGAAGGCAGATTGGAAGAAAACACCTGTTACATAAAATGTAGCAGAGAAAAAAGCAAGCTACTTGCAATAGGAGAGGCAAGGCTTTAGTTGGTTTAAAGAAATTCTATGGTTATGCAACTTCTTGAACAAAAGTATCCAGTCATAAAGATACTGTCTGTAAATATTCCTTGGTAACAATCCATGGAGGGACCTGGTTAGACAGAACAAACACCTTTCTGTACACAGCGTACAGTACTGCAATGTGTCATTTTCATGTTACATCTGTCCCTAGACTGGGAGAAAGCTTTAGGAAAGGTACCTGTTGCTCCTTTGGCTCAATTTTGTTGGCTGGGAAGAGCCTGTGTACAGATGGTATTATATCAATAAGAGCAATTATGGGCCTTTGGTGGGTGATTTGTGGTTTAGGTCACCAACAATAAAAAAACAGCTTTGAAATAAAAACAGAGGAATGAGGTTTGAGAGAAAAAAAAAAAAAAGAAAGAAAAGGAAGAAGAGAAGGAATTCAAAATGCAGAGAAGTGCTCCATATGTCACAAAGCAGCATGAGAACCAGGTCTATAACCTGCCTGCAGGAATCAGATAAGCTGCCCTTCTGCAGACCCCAATTGCCAGAGATCAAAGGAAAAGCAGAGATTAAAAGTATCTTTGTGACTGTGCAGTGGCTGTAACATACATTTCTGAAAGGATTTGATGTTACTAGATTCCTCTTTGCAAAAGCAGCTGGGTTCATGCTTTTCCTCACTCCAGTACAGAGTTTGCTATGGAAACTGTGAGCGTCATGGAGTTTCTCCTTTGTAAGCTTTTTCCCTAATTCTTCAGAAAGCTATCCCTTCCCCCAAACAGTGAGAAGGTGCTGGCATCCCCCATGCAGAGGAAGTATTAGAAGAGAAATAAGATGGTGTTAAAACCTAGTCACTCAGAAGTCATCTGGAAGCTGAGAGCTGTTTGTGAACATTTGGGAAGAGACTGGCTCTTCTGTTGGAGTACGTGAAGGAGATGGATAGGGTTTATAATGATTTGCTGACTCCATTTGTCTCCCAGTGTTCCTATGAAACAGATTTTCTGTTTTTACCAATTTACCCCTGAAATGGTCACATAATGTATTCTTCCTCACCTCAGTGCTGCACAGCTCACAGACCAGACTTTTGCCTCTTGCTTGTCCTTGACTGTCCTACTTGAGTCTGTGCATTTGGCAACCCAATGGCGTGCCACATTGTGGACAGGGAGCCCAGGCTCCCCACAGGACAGTTTTGAGTGCAGAGAGAAATGAAGACAAAAAATCCCTTTGTCATTTGAGGCTTAGAACAGATGGACAGGAGAAGGACTGGCAATAGAAGAGCTGGGATGTCTGGGTGTGCAGCAGCATCTTGGTCAATAAAGGAACTGCAACTGTTCATTAACAAATGCAGTTTGAAGCTCTGTGTGTCACTGTCTATAATCTCACGCACAAGGTCACTCTAACATCTAATAAGTATGTGCTTTGTCTATATCCTCCATCAGGCAGCTACAAGTCAATCAGCTTTATGGTCTTATGCACAGTTTGGTATGTCTAATTTTTATGATTCTTGCAATCTGCTGAAAGCTTAAGCTGGTTAGTTTTAAATGCAACGAAAAAAGCTGAAGTGCTCTGCTTGCAGGACCTTAAGCACTTCAACTTTATGGCCTCAGATATAAAGTTCCCCCTCACTAAGCCCCTCCTAGAAGGTTGTTAAAATTAAGGGCAGTATATTAAAAATCTGTTGCATCTTTTATTATTAAGTCATAACTTGCGCACCTCTGGGAAAATGAGCTTGCCAGCCTAGTAGGTATCTGAATCGATGTCTTTCCAGTCTTTGACAAGTGTCTGTTCTTTGTTTGCAGATGGTTGTTGTGATGGAAACTATTAATTGCAGGAAAAGCAATGCTCAGTACATACTGTACAGTTGTGTAGTAGCCCAGAGTATGATGGTACTAGCTGAAGAGGACAGAAATCTTTTAAACAGAATAAATTTACTTTTTTGTATGCATTAAACAAAAAAATATAATTTGGGTAGGCTGATGGTGAAATTAAATGTTCCCTTTTGGTTTCTAGGCAATAGAAGTGGAGGAAGAAGAAATGAAGCAACCTGGAGTAAGTAACGTTGGTAGAGTAACATAGAATAAAGAGGGAAGTAATGAATGGCCTGCTTGAGAGAATCAGCAGTTTCCCCAAGATAATCAACTAATCCCTAGACTCCAAATGTACATACATACATCCATCTTATACAACTGGATTTTAGACATGTAAATGCCTGCATACACATGATGACAATATTTAGGGTGATTTCTACAAATATTCTTACCTTCTGTTGGATCCCTGTGATTTCCATCTCATCAAGAGTAATTGTTGAGGATGTTGTTGAGGATGCTGAGGTAATTTATAGGCACCTGTGGGCTCATAAATCTTATGTGCTTAGCCTAGAGATGTCTCTTCCACACATTCTCCACAAGCTGTATCTATCATCCATTACTGTACAGAGTATCTGTGTTAAAAAAAAAAAAAGCTAAATAAAATATAAAAGAGCTATTGCCATAATTCCAGTCTCTGACAAAGCACAGTTCAGCCCTATATTAAAAGCTTATCACAGAGAACAAAATGGAGATGTGTGCAACACGTGTGAAAGCTTCTATTTTCTTCCCTTCCATATATTGTTCAGCTTCTTCTTGAAAAAAAGACTATAAAGATTTTTGTTAGACTTTCAGGAGAATGTTAACTAAACATATCAAAGTCATAGAGGCGGGTAAGAAGAAAGGATTTCAGATTGTTTTGAGTTAATAAAACATTTCAGAATGTGAATAATGGACAATAGTTGAAAACAATGAACATCCTTGTGGGAGGGACATTTCCGTTTCAGGCAACCAATTTTAGGCTACTTAGCCAGCCAGTCTCCCATGAGCCACTCTACAGTGAAAGAAAAGCTGCTTCAGAATACTGAGGATGAATCTGCATCAGTAGCTTTGTACAGGAGTGGAGTTTAGAGTGTGCTTACTTATTCTCCCCTGGCTCCAATTGTGTGGTCTCTGCACATAAGAATTGACTGAAACATACTCCAGACACTACTGGTCAATCAGTTCTTAGGACCAGACTATAACTGAAGTGGAGGGTCTCAGGATAAGTCTAGCCACCTATCTCAGGCTTCTCAAACAAGATACTGAAAGAAGAGTGGAAACATTCTGCTCTGTCCATCTCTGTTTACAAATGAGACTCCCACACAACTGAGAAGTCCTTTCTCCTCCAATTAAGTCAATGAACTGACTGGTGAGTGGCTACACTAAGACTTTCCACTTCTTACGAATTTGTGTTGTAAGCAGTCTCTCTGTTTGACCATTAGTTTAAATACTCCTCCAAAATCTAGGATTACTTGATGTTTTTCTCTCGTTCATGCAGGCTTGTAATGACCTTAAAAGCATTAACTCAATGTGAGGTCACAGAATTATTTTAGCTGCGGATCAGTTGCTTAATAGCAGTTTTCTTGGAGTCATGTAATCATGCAGGCTGTAAGGCTCAAGTAAGTCTTTCATTTTCTGCCAGCTTATTATTGGATTTAACCACTCCCAAGCACAAAAAAAAAAAAAAAAAAAAAAAAAAAAGAAAAAGAAAAAAAAGAAAAAAAAAGAGAAATAGGTTCATGGGGAATTTTAAGGTTGGGTTTATATTGCCCAAAACATTCAGAGAAGCATGTATCTGCAAAATCAATCAGCTATTTCTATAACCACTTAACATATGATCTCACTTTTTAAATTAAATTCTGCTTGAAAGTCACGTATTTCTATAGTCACCTCTTACATAGCACAGGTGGGCTCTCACAGTGTTTTACTATTACTAATTAATGGTCTGTTTTCGGTTACATAAACAAATTTACAGACTGCAGTAGGCAAAAGCTAATAACAGAATTATTTTTATCCACATTTTTAATGGGAAAACATTTGTTTTGATTATAAAGTAAAATTTTGCTTGATATAATAATAAATATTCCATAAGCAAAATATTTGATTTTGAGTTTACTGTCCTTTCTAGTGCCAGAAATATTTATGATTTTAAGTAGGACAGCCATGTTGAATTTTTTTTTAAACTCCAAAACTAACATAATATGCCCCTGCCTCATAATAAACAACAGTCTAATTATATTTATTAGAATTGGCTCTCAAGTGACAGTTAATAAATGCATAGTCCTATTATGCATACTAAATTCAGCATTCCAAAAACTTAAAAGCAGATAGATCAAAACAATGGAGATAAAAAAGTCACAAAGACAAAACACAGCAAGTTAATGACAGGGAAATAACTCAGATTTAAAAATTACTTATTATTTAGTAACTTGTAACAACAATTTATAGAATTGAATTAGAGAGGCAAATCACAGTCTTTCTGATGTTTTAGATACACACAGTCTCTCTAATGCATATAGTTTGAGCGTACAGCAAAGAATTCCAAAGCCCCCTTCCAAAAAGCAAAATAAATAAATACTTCAGCACGTTTCTGATTCCACGTTACATTTACTCATGGATAGTGAATGAAGAAAGAAAAGAGTACAAGACAACTCAAGTATTGATCTGGTTTAATTGAAACTCCTAAACACTTCTTCAGTGTGTGGTGTCAGTTCAGAGTGTCTGTGTGTGTGGTGCATTTCTCCAGCCTGTTTCACCGTACCTGCACCAAACCATACAAATACAGGATTTAATGGGCTCTGCGTCCTTTACTGTAATCACTCCATTGGCTCTTTGATGTGACATGGGTTTGGTGTGATGATGGAAAAAGTTGCTTCAACCGTGTATTTTCACCTCTGTTTCTGAAAGGTGAAGGGCAGAATTTTTAATCAAGGAGCAGTTTATCTTTAATTATGAAAAATATAATTAGGCATTATCACCTAATTGCTGTTGCTGATGGAGAAAGTCATATTTTCGTAAGTAGTGACCCATGCTGTATTATCGCTCTACTGTTTACTGCATAATGAATCTGTATTTGTGTTTGGCAGCTAGCCAGCGTAAATTAAAAGGTAATCAACATGCTTCTCTGCAGTCCGGTCATCAAAGTCACTGGCTCCACAGATGAGTAAATAACAAAGTCAAGTTGTGATGTTCTAACTGAAAATCTCCTCAAGGAATAACTGTGTTTATCTCCTCTGTTAAGACATCAAATGATTCTGAAAATAACCATATACAAAAAACACTCCAAAACAGATCAGAATAACTGTGCTATACATCTGGTGTTGAGTTAAAAAACAGTTTAATGTCTCAAGGCACCACCATGGTAGAATTTTATACCTGCAAGTAATCATCTAATACACTATTGTACAGTTAAGGTAATGTATTAATAAATAGCTTGTGCAATTTTGGGAAGCAATCTATAAAGGAATGTTAGATATACAGTAGGCACGTACTCTAATACAAATAAAAAAAAAAAAATCCTAGAAAAAGCATGCTGAGCACCGTTTGGTATAGATTAAGTTTCTTATTCTAAACACTATGTAAATCTTAACTTACAAAAGGTAAAACTGAACTCTGATAGCAACTGCTTATTTAAACTGATTTTCCTGGGTATTTGACTCTATGTTGTAGGGTTACTCTTAGGGACAGCGGACTCTGGTACTGGTTGTAAGGGGCTATCTTGTTCACTCAACTGTGCGTTCAAGTTTTCAGAAGTTAGGAGAGAAGAATTAAAAACTATTTCACTTAAGTCTGATTTTATGGATACAAGATGTGGTTCTTGAAAACTTAATGGTTCTTCTACTAACACCTGTGTATTTTCTCGTGTCATTCCCATATCTGACGGTGACTTTCGTTTCATTCTTGTGTATGATTTGTCTAAATTCTCCATGCCTTGGTCAGTTTTTTGAAATCGCCCAAAGAACCAGATGAAGAAACCAAACAAAGCAAAAGCCAGCAAACTTGGAATAAAAGCCAGGCATTTGACATCAAGGCTAGAGCCTATGTATCTGCTGTGCAAGAACATGTCTCCTTCGGCATAGGTCCGGTTGGTCAACGGGTTAGTGTTATTGGATCTCCATTCCCAAGACAACTTAGTTCTGTTAAGATCTTTCAAGCTTTCTGAGTCCTTCACGGTGTAGATCTTCTGTCCAGGACCAATATATTGACCATATTCATGAGGTCTGTAAAATATTTGGTTCTTCCACATATTTAGATCCAAGATTAAAACAAGAAAGATAATCCCATAGTTAAACCATTTGCCTGTTTGGAAAAAAGAAAGTTCTGTTATCTGATATATCTATTTTAGAAGCAGAACACATGCATTCATATGTAAAACCAACTAAAAGCAAAAATCCTTTTGTAATAAATCTGTAAAGCAAAGTTGTAATAACATTCTCACTGTAATCAACTTTGTGCTGAATATCCCTTAGTATTTTACAGTTAGGTCTGGGCACATAATAAAATAATTTTGTAATGCAAGCACAGCAGGATATCAATTGAATTCACATTGCAGTTTGTAGGTGATCTGCTGATTAGATAATTATGTGATGTGGTATAGATCAATAAATATAAAAAACATTAATTTCAGGACTTTGAAAATATTGACATGGAAATTCTCTTTGAAAAGGCTGTATTTAATAGAAATATCTGTATGCCACTAATGACTGAAATGAGACTCTTCTGGGGTTTTATAAGCATGTACATTTTGAGCACATACAGATATAGTTTAATATACCAACCATGGTGTCCAAATGCTCACAGGTGAGGCAATTGGATAAGTGAAGATTTAGAGATACTATGCCCTTAAGAAAAAGTAAGGGCTGATTTTAATACTGGAAGGTTAGTCAGCTTAGCTTTCCTGTGCTATATGTAGTGAAAAACTCCTCCAAGGAGTGACTCATAGCCTAACATTAAGCCCCTGAATATTGGAGGAAGAATGCTCTCTCTGTTTATCATTTAAAAATACTCTTTTGCATGCCTCCTCTAGGCATCCAAAATATATAAAAGGTAATTTTATGCAATAGCAAAGTTATCCCTGCTTTAAGCAGAATATTGGAACAGATGACCTCCAGGCATTCCTTCTAAGCCAAATTATTCTATGAAAACACACACACAAAAATTATACTATTTTCATACTTAAGGCATCTCGTTCACGTCTAGCAGAACATATGTTAAGATCATATCTATGCAGTAATGACTGGCACCACCCAAGAATCTAGCAAAACTACGTGCATCAAAGCTATGTTACGATGGAGAATTTGCAACTGACATCACAGCATGATGTGGAAGGACATTTGTGGAGGAATGCCTCTACTGACAATGAATGAAACTATTTATGCTAGAACCATATTTGACTATGGTTCAAGTGAAAAAGAAAATGAATGTTTGATAAAGAGTAAGTGTATTCCAGTTCCTCTGTATGTTCAAACTGAGCCATGGACCAGCACGCTCCTTTAGGGTAACTCCTTGCATGCTAGAAACTGTGTTTAATAGTTCTCTTCAATCTAATCTGCATTTGCACTGGAACTATAAGATAATGTTCTTTCAGTTGTGTTATTGTCACTATCCAGAAATCAAACTACACTGAAAAGACCTTGCAGTGATTCCAGTTAACATAATTCCTTAATAACTCTAGTTTTTATTTTCTGGGTTTTCATCAACACTATAATTGACCTTTTAATGCAGTGGAATACTGGTGAGAAGGTTCAACCTGTACTGCCATACCGCCAACATCTGCCTCTGACGCTGTGGGCCAACATCATAACAGCAGAGACATTACTTTTGGAGCAGTCCTCTTACATTAAGAAACTATATGATCTAGTTTGATGCGGTTTCCAGTGGATCTCTGTCCTGTATTTCCTGTGTTTCTCCCCAACAGAATAACCCCAGTTTACCCACCACACATAAGCTTTCAGCAAACAGAGCCAGAGTACACCTTGCATAGAGTGCTTTGATGGGCTGCTTGGGGCACACATTCACTGATCAATTGGCTGCTGTCAAACAGAATACATAATGACTGACTTCTACCTGTATTTCCTCAGCTGGGCACTGACTTAGATGATTTTTTCTTACCTAATCACCTAATTTCCTTAACTAATTCCCAGGGCATAATGGGAACGAAAGTATTGCTTAGATTCCTACCCTCCAAAAATATTGTTGAATCTGGCTGCGTGCTCAAAAGTTGTTTGATGATGAATGGGTATTGGAAAGAGAGAATGAGACCAATCCCCACAGAAAATGGTCATTTAATTCTCATTTTCTTAGGAAAATGGGCTAAACACAAATGCCAATGAAACATAAATATTAGAACCATTATCTGTTTACCTACAGATACCTATTTGGTACTCTGCATTTCTGCAGAGCTAGAAGAGGTTACTTTCCAGAGACTGCTAGACTGTGGGAAGTGGATGACAGGAAGTGAAAAGACTCACATTGGGCCAGGACTGCTCTTTCCCATCCGACAGATATGGCAACAGTGAAAACATGAAAGGAAAAAACAGACAACTAAAAGATCAAAACAGGAAGTGTAATGAATTGGAGAAATTATTGAGATGACCTTTATCAAAACCAAATGATACTGCTATAATCTTGATTACAAACTTCAGGTATGAATGACAAAGGGAACTTACATGTTTTAATACTGAGATGTGAGCTACCACAACTTTAGGCTTGATGGCAGTAGATTTCACAGTTCTCATCTGTGATCATGTTGCCCTAAGTACAACATGTAGAATAAACCACCTGAGCAGTAAGACTCGAGATGGCAGCCTGCTGATGGAGTCGCCTAAGAAGCTAGCAGGAAATACTGAAAATGCTGAACAGAGTTTGTTAGGTGCTTGGTCTCAGGCCTCATGTAGAACCTCTCCTACATTGTGATTACACCACTGTGATATATATCTGTGTTGGATATGTTTAAAAAAGGTTCCACCCCTCATATCAAGAATTAGAGTACTTACTTGATACAAAAGAAATGTTCCTTTCAATTCCTCTTTGTTTTATTAAAAGTATGAAACTTGAAACTTCCTCACTTAGCCCCTAGATACAGTAAGGTAGACAGAAACACAGCCCAAAGTTTCCCTGAGTGTATCAGTTGTATTACTGCTTGTAAATGGTGCTTGGACAATCAGCTTAGATGCAAAAACTTCACTGAACTGAGTCGTGTCCATTATGCCTAAGAGCCAGCTGGTTGCCTGACATCCCTCTGTTTTCTGTTGGACCTACTCCTTTAATTTCTCACCTCTAGACTATTTTTACATTCTCTGCTTCACTGCCATGATATATGAGTTCAATGATTTTTCCTTTGAAAATTGTTGACACCAGAACTAAATTCTGTAACAGTCTCACTACAAACATACGAACACGATATCTTTCAACTCCTACTCCATATTCCCTGTAGCCAAGGGCTGTGTTAATCTCCTGTGACACAAAATAGGAGTTAGTGCTGTCTTGGTTACTTACAGAAAGTATTTACCTTCTTCTAGAATACACTGTCCTCTGCTGTCTATCTTTCTTCCAAGATGTGTACTTTACTTAGCTGCATTAGCAGGAATGATAGACAAATAAGTCCAGTTTACTAAGCAATTCTTCTAGATGAGTGAAAAATGTATTGAAGCAGTCTGACCCAAGAGGTCTGACAGTCTCCTCCCACAAACATCTATCTAATGATAATTCCATATGACATTTCGTTTTTGAGACTGAAGATACTAACCAATCTTTAACTATATATACAAGTATAATCTCTGCACAAAAATGTATATAAAATTATTGTCTATTGCAACTCAATTTTAGCATAATATTGCTTATAGCAAACTTTAAATCATATATAAAGCTCATACTGGAAATGAACTTTATAAGTTAGGAGTCACTCCTGACCTCGCATCTTGTGATAGGCTCAAGCCTCTCATTTTGCAGAGTTGGGATAAATATATTATAAAGTTATATATTTGTTTTCTTTAAAACAAATAAACAAACAAAACCAAACAACAATAAAAAAACCAAAAACAAAAAATCCAACAAAAATCAAACTCACCAAAACAAAACAACCAAAAAAACCATTATATAATTAATTTGACAATGTTTCAAATTCCCGATTAAAAATTGGAAGGGAAAATGGAGTCCCATGTAATGAAGTCTTTTAATTTGTCTCTTAGCCAACTTCTGTAGGATCAGTACCACTACTGCTCTAGGGAGGTCTGTGCATCCAAGAATATTTGCATACACCTGGCACTGTCTAGCTCTTCTTCAATCAGACAGATTTTCCATAGACAAATTGAGCTGGAAGGATGCAGATGTCAAGACCACAAGGCCAGTCAAGTATTTCAGCAAACCGAGAACTATATCCAGACTCCTCAATGGAATTACAATGAAGAAAATCAGGTGTCAAAACTGGGTATCATTCAGCCATGCACTACTTAAAACACACCTGGTTCACAAGCATCATTTACAGTGTTGAAGTCCTTATCTGTTACACATGACATCTGAAGGGTCACACGTTTCCGCCAGCTGAACAAGATGTTTGGGCACTGCTCTTTTTTTTTTAAAGAGGCTCAAAAATTCTACAAGTGGTTAAGCAACCGGTCCACAACATCACACACAATTGATTTACCAGGCAACTGAGGCAGGAAGATCCTGCAGGTCTAAGTGCTCCCAAACAGCTTCTTATTATGGAGCATTTTTATTTTTGTAAGTAAATCCACTCTGTAATGGAGTAGTCATGTCCTAAAAACAGAATTCTAGTGTAGAAACCAGTCCTCGGGAGCTCTTTAGAGGTCAAGAGGACATGAAAATCCCACTTATTAAGGCTAGATTCAATTGACCTCATGCTGTGCAACCACAGCCAGAGGCTCATGTAGAAAATGTTGTCTTTAGATTCTTATCTCAATTGCATTTTGTGTCTAAAAACATCCAGACACCTCGTAAAACATACAGATATCTTAGAAACATTCTTCATCTCTTCTGTCATGTCAGTGCTATTGGCTAGATACATCCATACAGACCACTCACAGCTGAACTAAGCAGTAAATCCTCTGAGATCTTTTAATGTCTATGTGCACAGACAGCTTTGTTTTTACCTCTAACCTTTCTATTTTTGCCCTCAGGCTCCTTCAGGCATATCTGTGTAGGTGATGCTTGGCCTGGATCTAGTCATTCTTTTGGTTTAACTCCATAAGCCAGCCATACCAGGCACTTGCCAATCATGAAGATGACAATTTCTCCTTTGGGTGGAAGAGCACATCTACATCAGAACTCAGAAACACATTAACAAACAGCTAGAAAAACTCCCCGACTTGTTTCATACCTAAACCTTAATATTCCTCATTTGGAACTTATTTGAAACTATACAGCCAATTCTCTTGGATCTGTGCCATCAGATGGCACCATCCTGGCCTCCAAGAGCCTTTCAACAATAAAAGAATCACAAGTAACAAAATTTACTTTAAAGTATTACAAATTTCCCTGGGTATTATAGAAACTAGGCTAGATTATGTATTTTCATAAACAACAGCCAGGAAGGAAAACATACACACTATAGTGAGCCATCTATCAAGGGAAATCCAGACGAGTTAAGCAAATGCAGCAATTCAAGATATTTTTGATGTTCATAGATAAAAGCGCCTATGAAAACACGATAAAAATGTTTAATACTGAGTAGATACTTGCTAGGAGTTCTTAGATGCAAAGAAATGTGGGCAAAATGAGGTACTAAGTTACCAATAAAAATGAGATAAGCTTGTGATAGTAAATTTAAAATCACAGTGAAGCATATAAGCAACAGGCTGCAGATGTTGCAGGCCTAAGAAAGCATGCTACTTGTTCGAAGTAGCCAGATAAGTGAAAAATAATGCACTCAATACTGCTTCATTTATCTGCTTTTTGAGACAAGGACCTACACAGAAACAACATTTTTTTTCTCTGCAATCATGAGGTACATTTTTAAAAATATGA